CAATGCCCTGGCTGGGCTCATTCACTGCCACCAAACCTCCATCTCCTCTGCTCTCATGCCATGGGGCAAATGCAGGCAAAGCTGGAACATGTGACTTTGAGCAAGTCATTTCACTTTGCTGAATCCCTATAGGGCTTTTCTGAAGATTCACTAATGGTGTGGAGGTGCCTCTCGCGGAGCATGGCCGAGGACAATTTGTGGCTCTCATCTGCTGCGGGTGGGATGGGAGAGGAGGTGCAGAGGGCTGGATAGTCTGAGGGAGGAGGAGTTTGCTGCCAGCTTCTCTCACTGCCCTGGCAGCTCGTGTCCATAGTGCCCGTCTAGGCCATCTTCTGGCTCCTGGAAGGATCCACCCAGGCTGCTGGAAATAACCACGCAGACCATCAGCGGGCAGGGGTTGGGGGTGCCAGCATTCCTGAGACCACACTGGGTTCCTGGCAGTGTGCTGAAGGCTGGCCTTCTCACCCACATTGCCTGACCCTGCAAGTGGAATTGAAGACACAGAAGTTAGCAGGAGGGGACGTTACACCTAATCAGTGCTGTTAGGCCCTCTGGCCAAGCCATAAAACAAGAGAACGGGAGTGACACAGGCACTCCTTTTGAACTTGAATCCTCTCTAAACTGCCACTCCAGCCCCAGGGAGACCACGAAGCAGCAAGCAAGAGGGAGCCCCCTCAGGCCCCTCCTCAGAGGGTCAGAAAAAGCCCATTCGCTCCTCACCTTATCCCGGATGCTTAAAAAAATATTGTGGTAATGTAGGTCAGTGAACTGACCGGCACCACACACCAGCAGGATTACAGGGCCCGCCAGCCTGCACGCTGGCCCGCCTGGTCAGATGAGAACATAAACAAGGAGTGCTGGGAGCCCTCCGCTTCCCCAGCCCTAGGCTTTTGTTTATGTAGCACTTAAACCAACTTTGGGGTCGTTGCAGTCTGCCTTGAAAGCCCTGAAGCTTTTTGAAGTTCCCCTGAAGTTAATAAAATTAGTCTGCCCTCATTGCAAGTCCTTGGCTTGGGGGGGAAGATGGATCCTCCACCGTGTCTGTGGCATTTCGCTTTTTAAGTTAATATTCTATAACCAAAAGAAAGGGGGAGGCAGGGGAGAAGATGGAGTAGAAAGTCTTGTGAAATGCCTTCTTGCTAATAGGTAGCATGCCTTCCAGCCACCCCATGGCCCTGGTCACAGTGAAGCCCAGCCGCCAGGCCTACTGGAAGGCCGAGATGGGCCGCTGTGCTCCAGGGTCAGGGATGACCAGCTCTGGGGCATGCAGGGGAACTAGGCGCAAGGTGAGGCTGTTGGCTCCCTCTCGAATGAAATGTACCACCAACCACGAGTCCGCCTGAGTGATTTTCTTTTGCCCCCAAGGAGCCAAGAGTCACCTTTTGTCACCATTGTCTCCCTCCCCACCTGCGTATCATGTGCATATTTACTGGGACCTGTCATGGGTCAGGGCCATGTGAGAGAGAACTCCCAGTCTGTCTGATGAGGGACACAAGACAGACCAACTGTCTGTGGTGAGACAGAGTGGCCAGGCCTTGGGACAGGAGGTGCCTGCCACGTGGGGAGGCTGTCTGAAGGAAAGCTTGTCCAAGCTGAGCCTGGGAGGACTGCCAGGGGTCTGGCGTGGATACAGAGTTGGGAAGAGGGTGGCGGGATGATAGACATGTTCATTATATTCACTAGCTTGATGGTAGTGGTTTCATGGGTATCTATGTATATCTCAAATTACCAAGTTTTACCTAAAATATGTACATGCTGTTATATATCAGTTATGCCTCAATGAAGTGTTAAAAAAGATGAAAGACCACAGGCAGGACTGAGCATTGCAGATGTACCAACAATCACAGTTAGGTACGTGTTCCACTTTGACTTAGGCATTCAAGGAGCACACATATGGTAAGTGGTGTTTATATGCAGGAAATGCAGCTGTGGAGAAGAGAGCCGTGTTTCTGCTTTCGCGGACCTGGGTCCTGCTTGGGAGGAGTAAACAAGTAACAGATAAAAAGGCGTAATATCAGGGATAATCTGTGCTCTGAAGACAGAGACAGGACCAGGGTGTGCAGAGGAGCAAGGTCTGGGGTGCAGGGGGCCACAGGCATGAAGGCCTTGACTGGGGTCCTTGCTGGGCACCAAGGGCCTGCCCAGAGATGGGGACACCCTGTCTGCAGTGAGCAGTCCAAAGGCAGAATGTAATTACCTCCCACAAGGATATGCATGAGCCGCTTGAGGCAGGAGCTTTGATTTGTCCTCAGTGACATACCTGGCACGTGGTAGGCTCTCGATAAGTATTTGTAGGGAGAAAGGAAGGACATTATGAATTTGGGGTGAATTTTCTGCCTGGATTGCCCATTGGGTCCCTGTCCTGCCTTTTATAAGATGGTTCTCTAGGTAGGTTGTAAGCTCCTGGTGCGAGGACTGTGCCTTTATCATTTCTCAGCCAGCCATGATGCTGGGGACAGGTCTTCTGTCTCAGCTGGCTCTGTCTCACAGGCCAGCAAAGGCCTGGGACCCACCCGTCCTGCCCAGAGTGCCCCAGGGCTTCCCAGCAGCACCAGACCCGCCTGCTTCTCCAGCTTGAGGTGGGGGCAGTGTGTGTGTGTGTGTGGTCAGTGCAGTCTTTCTCTGCTTGAATGCTGCAGCATAGGCTCTGCAGAAGTTCGCCATGCTTGGGCTTGAGCTTCTACTGTGCCGCTGGCTCTGGCGACAAGCACTTCCCTCAGATCTCCCCTCTAACTGCCCTGAAGTAGGAATGAAAACCCCTTGCACACAGGGGTGCTCGAGGGCTCAGTGAGGCCCCGCTAAATGACTCTGTCATAGGCTGGGGTGCCCTGAGGCAGTCTCTTTCTCCTAAGGACAGGTGGCCTCTCCGCAGCACAGGCTCAACTTGGGACTGGAAGTGGCGCTGAGCACCTCTGGAATGGCTAATCCAGAGCCATCGAGTCAGTTCAGCTAAACATCCTGGGACCCTACTGTACCGGGCTAGGCTGCCGAATGTGAGAGGTAGCCCTGTCTCCCGGGCTCCGGCCAGGCTGGGAATGGAGCTCCACATGCAGGCCACTCTGGTGGGTGTGGAGACAGGACTTCTGGGAGCCGGGAAGCCCGGGAAAGCATTTGGGGCTGGTGACATCTGCTCGCCCTCGCTCTCCATGTCCTGTAGGTCAGAGGAGCCGGCTCCATTCATTTCACCCAGCAGCACCCACAGATGAGACAGAGCCCATGGCAAGCCAGCCCACAGGGGAGCTCTGCTGGAGCCAAGTCCTGAAGGACGAGGAGGAGTTCATGTGTGGGAATGAGATTTGTGAATTATAAAGGGCTGTGCGAGTGGAAATGATTATTCTTATCGTTATTTGTATCCAATTCATCCATCACCGGGGAGAGGAGGAATGTGAGTACCTTTTATCTGGCACTATGAATCAAATAGAATAGGACTTGTTTTTCTAAAGGGGTTTTAGGGTAAATGGGACAGTTTCTACCTTTCAAAACAATCCATCTGGGGCCCTTGGCCCAATCTTGGCGTCTTGGGCAGAAGTGAGATGTTTCTGAGGTTGAGGACAGCCCAGCCCACAGGGGTCCCCCATGAGTCTCAGCCTCAGGAGGAGAGCACGTGGAGGCCGCAGGTGCCACCGCTGGCAGCACTTCTGGCCCCCACGCTGCTCCCCGGGCTAGCGCCTGCTCAGACTCAACCCTGGTCCCCAGAAGCACCCAGGCCAGTGCACGGGGCCTGGAGAGCAGGAGGAAGCCTCCCCAGTTCCGCTGTGGCAGCCGTGTGGGACCCGGCATGCCAGATGCCAGGTGGAGCATGGGTCCTGCTCCACCGTAGCAGCAACTCTCAGGCTGAAGCTCTGTGTTAGCCTTTCTGAGGTCATCTGGGAGAGGGTCTAGTCTTTCATATGTGAGCGCATGCACACATGCGTGCGCACACGCACACACACACCCTCTCTCTCTTTTACACAGACACCTGGCCCCCTTCCTGGCACGGACCCTCAAAAAGAGCTGGGCAGAGCAGGGGAGGCCACCTGGGGGGTTGGGGAGCTTCAGGCCATGCCACCTTCTGTGAGGGAAGAGTGGCTCTTCAGCCTTTGTCATGCTCGGTCCCTGGGGAGAGGTTCAAGGTGAACATAGCTCATACTGAAATCAGGGCTGTACCAGGTTGGCTTTTTCACACACACGCATGCCCCTTCTGTCAACCTGAGCCTCCACAAAGAGGTGAGGGGCACAGGTTCAGCAGTAGAGGGCCCGGCCATGGCCAGCAGGGAGCCAGGGGAGCTGAGGCTTCTGCTGGGATGGGGGCAGGAGGGCATCCTGCAGAGGGGAAGTGGGGCTGTGGAAGAGATGTGGGCCAGGCTAGGAAGGATCTCTGACAGAGTGAGGAAAGCCTTGGCTGAAATACATACATGTGGAGTGAGCTGGAGCAGCAGAGACTGCGTTCTCAGACACTCCTTGTGGGAGGGAAAACCAGAGAGAGGGCAAGGCAGGTTCTAGAAAGCCTTGCTGCAGGATTCGGAGTGGATGTCATCCTCTCGACCTAGGGTGTCCATGCAAGCTTACCTGAGGAGAGTGCTGCTAGCCATCATTAGACAAGTGCTCGAGGACAGGCAGGGTGCAGTGGCCACACAAAGGCAGGTGCAGGCAGGGCAGTTGTGGCTTCTGAGCTCCCTCTGCCCTGGGAGCTCTGTGACCTTGGACGGATAGCCTAACTCTACTGTGCCGCTAGTTTGCATCTGTAAAGTGAGGAAAGAGTGCCTCCCTCCCATTGCTGCTGTGGTGCTAAGTGTGACCCCCATAAAGTTCTTGCAGGTGGCCTGGCAGTAGCCAGGGCTCACTGGAGGTCAGTGGTGATGGTGATGAGGGCTGGTCACCACATGGCCCCAGTGCATTCCACTGTCAGTGAGATGGGCAGATCACCAGGTGGGGGCAGGTGGCGGAGGGGTAGCGGCAGCAGGCCTGGCCTCCTCTAGCACACACTGATGCTCTCTCTGGGGCTGGGTGTGTGGGGACAGGTGATGGATGACCACAGCGTGATCGGCCGCTCCCTGTTCAAAAAGGAGACCAACATCCAGCTCTTTTTGGGCCTCAAGGTGTACCTATCCACTGGGGAGCTGGGGGTCATCGACAGCGCCTTCGGCCAGAGTGGCAAGTTCAAGATCCACATCCCTGGTGAGTGCAGTCACTTCCTCCCACTGGCAGGCACTGTGCAGGCATGGAGAGATGGTGGAGACAGTGCCTGGACAGTGCCCCTTGGCTCAGGATGCTCACCCTGCCTGAGCTGATGCACAGGGCCCAGCCCTCTCAACGTCATGGTCTCCTGTCCCATGGGCTTGTGGCTGGAGAGCCAGGGTGGGTCCTGGGGGTGCTGGTGTACAGTCAGCCTCTGGTCTGAGCCAGGGTCAAGGTGTGAGTCTGAGCTCCTGCTCCACAGTAAACCATACAGGGGTAACCCTGGGTGAATTACCTGGCTTGTCTGTGAAGTGCGATACCAATCCTGATCTGGGAGGTGCTTTGGAGGAAGAGTCGGTGAGAGAGACTGCTAGGGGCCTGGCATACTGCCCCAGTAGCCAGTACAGTTTCCCAGAATATGAGTTGCCACCTACTTTTTTGCCCGGTGGAGAACAATAGGTGCTGAGCCTCTGAGGGATCTGAGTTGGGACTTATCCATGGTGGGGTCAAAGGTGTGCCTTTGCTCTTGGGAATAGAGCCCTTGGATCTCTTTAGTTTGGTCCTCCCTTCCATCACTCCTGCACTTACCCCACACCCATCTTCTGGAGGTCCTGCCACACACCAGGCAGGCTGCCGTGGTCGTGGGAGGGGACAGGTGGGAACACATTCGGTGAGTATCTACTGTACGTCGCAGAAAAATAAAGTAGGGAGAGGGTGAGAAGCACTATGTGTGTACCTCTGGACAGGGGCAATCAAGGAAGACCTCTCTGAGGAGGTAACAGTTGAGTAGGGCCCTGGCCAAAAGGGAAGGAGGGAGCCCCACTGACACCAAGGGAAGGAACATTCCGTGGAGAGAGGGGACAAGTGCAAAGGCCCTGGGGTAACAATGAGTTTTGGTGTGCATTTGAGGAGTGATTGTTTGGCACGAACTGGGAGGCACGTGGGATGCCACTTTTCTTCTCCAGCATTGTGTTAGGCCAGTTCCCAAACATGCAGCAGAGTTAAAGGATGTTACAGAGAAAGCCTGACTTCACATCAGCCTGTGGCTATACTTGGCCTATCTGCAGGACTCTGGGTTTTATTCTGTGAGAGTTGGAAAGCCATGGGGAGGTTCAGATCCGGTCAGCAACGTGCTATTGGTGTGTAGCTTCTTGAGTGAAATCTCCAGGTAGGGTAGTGCCCTGGCCGAGCAAGGAAACAGGAATGCCAGCAACCTGGCAGCTCACCGAGTAAAGTCAGTACCCTCTGCTCTCCTGAGAGCCTGGCTGAGGGCCTTGCCTCCCGAGTCCTTCCACAAGCCCAGAACGTCATGTGTGGCATTTGCCATCTGGTGAGGAAGGGCAGCAGGCATCAGAGGCCTGCTTCCCTGTGGCTCTCAGAAGCACTGTTTGTACCCCGAGGTCTCTGTCAGGGTGGAGTTCAGCTCTGTCACAGTCGGAGATACTCCCTTGGGGCAGGCAAAGTGGCCCACCGATAGGAGCCTTTAGCCATGATACCAGGCTTCAGGCTCCTGTCCTGTCCTCTCCACTGCTCTGGTCATTACCTCGGCCAAACCGGGGTCCCCAGTGCCCTGCTCTGGGTTCCAAGGAGCACACACAAGGCATGAGCCAGGCAGGCCAAGGTCCAGACCTCTGTTCCCAGGGCCCTGGGCCTGTACCTTGTGGGGCCTTACTGGAAGGAAGGGTACAGGGCACTGGGAGGGCAGGAGGGGAGCTGCCTGGAGTTGGGGAGCTGTACCCTGGAACATTCATCCTCCCCCAGCTATGGGGGCCTGCTGGTTCAGACAAGGGAAGGACAGCACCGTCTGTTTCCTTTTTGGGGGGTGTGTAGAGTCATGCTGACATTCCCCTCAGCTCCTCTTCCTTTAGCCTGAGGCAAGCTCAGAGTTGGGGTGTTCCCAGAACAGGCCAGAGTACAAGAGGAGGCTTGTTTGGGGGCCCTGGGTGCTGGGGTGGGAGTACAGGAAGGGAGACACAGTGCCGCTGCTTCAGTCAACTCAAGTTCACATTCCTTTGTTAGGTCAGTGTTGCCTTTTTAATAGGTCTGCTTCCTGTTTGTGGCTTTTAAGCTTTTTATTAAATATAACTGGTCAGATTCCTTCATCCCACCCACCCCACTCCTCACCCCCCTCCTGCTTGTCTTTTCCTGCCGATTCCTCCCATAAAGAATTACTTTTAACCTTTTTGAAGTGCATTAATTGTGAAAGAATCTTCAGTGAACCTGAGACACCCAGTGCCAGGTGGAGGAGGAGGAGCATTGCTGGCTGCAAGCTGTAAGAGCTGGGGTGCGGAGGCCCAGGGCTTTGGTCCTATCTAAGGCTCCCAGAGCAGAAGCAGTTCAGGGGAGCTGTCCAAGCCCCCAGATTGTGGGTGGAGCTGGGGTCAAATGTGGCCTATGGGCCTTGGTGTTAGCTCTGCAGGGCAACACAGTGAGCAAGGCAGACTAAAGATCATCTAGATGTCCTCCCATCTGCCCCTGACTCCCAGCCTGGGTGCTCCCTGGGGCCTCTCACTTCCAGTGACAAGGCCAGATGCCAACAGGGCCTAGCAGGTGTTGAAGAGACCAGGTGGCAGGCAATAGGGAGTGGTGGGGACCATGGTGGCCTGCTACTCAGGTCTCTTGCTGTAGGCCAAGGAATCTAATTTTATCTGATTTCATTTTTATGTAAAACTTCCTGATTAAAAATATAAAACTGTCCAAACTAAACAAAACATACCTTTGGGCTGGGTTTGGCCCATGGCAACTTGTAACTCCTACTTGAATTTCAGGACCAACACTTACTCCTCAGGTTCATGAGTCAAAGGTGAACCATAAAATGGAAACAGTGTTTTATGGAGCCGTAGATCCTGACCTCTGAGACAGGAGTCCTGACACTAAGCCCATGGCTTCCCCCAGAAGATAGTCTCCGAAATGAGAGGGACTAGAGGGATAGCCCCACCTGACACCCAAGGAGCTGACCCAGAAAGTCTTGGGGGGGGGCCTCAAGATTGGGAAGCCCCACATTTACATAGCTACTCCCTTCAAGAAAGTGGCCTCTGTTTGTAAGTCCTGGGAGGCTGGGAGACCCTACAAGATGAGCTAGGAACCCACTGGGTTGCACTGCTACAGAGAAGGAGTAGGTAGAAGACTTCGCAGGCAGAGTTGAGGCTCCTCCTGAGGATCCTGCCCATGGCATAGTGTCTCTGCTTCCCAGGTACTGGGCGCTACATTGTGGAGCCAGGTCCAGTGGCCTTCATCTCCAGGTGGGCCTAGGGAGCAGCGGGGCTGAGTGCCTGACTCATGGTCTGTCTGGGTGGCCAGCCTGTCCCTGCCTGCCCTGCCAGCCCCAAGAGAGGGGTCAGGGCTTTGGGGAGCCGGGCTCTTGGGGTCCACGTGTGGGTGGAGACCCCCCTGTGCAGGGTGGCCTGGCCTGGGCTGCCACTGCTCATGCTGGCGAGTGCTGCCCTGCTCTTCCCGTGCCGCCCTCCACTCCACACCAGCATCCCAGCGCCAGCTGCCACCAGCCCCACACACCCCACTCTGCAAGGGAAATGAGCTCCTTGATGACTTCCTGCCAGAGAAGAGTCAAGGGGAGGAAGACACTTGTCCCTCCTGACAGCTATAAGCCACCTCTTACTGACTCTAGGGGAGTCACAGCCATCTCCTCATGACGTGGCTTGGGGGGGTTCTAGTTCTCTAAAGAGAACTTGAAAGGGGAGGGTGCCAGTCCGTCCAGCTCTGCAAACTCCAGTGGAGGCTCAGGGCTGGGGACGCAGAGACCATTTGACCCGAGTCCTGCCCCAAGGCACATCCCCGGGGGAGACACGAAGGCACAGACCAACAGTTTGCAGTTAGCATGGCGGGTGTCCACAGGGGTAGAGGGCCAGGAATGCGATGGGGAGAGTGGCCATCCTGAGGGAGAGAAAGGGCAGACTTCCCCGAGGAGTTACTGTCCAAGCAGGGATTGGGAGGGAAGAGGAGAAGGAGGTATGTGGAGAGAGCTGGGGTCAGATGTGTGTTCTCTAGAATCCTGTGGCCGGCAGAAGCCACGGATGGGGAGCGCAGGCCCCGGCCCCTGGCTGCCTGCTCTGGGCTTCATTTTCTACGCCTCTGCCATGGCTGTGGGAATGCTCACCTCACCTCCCAGGGCCTCATTCCTCCCTCACTGCCCAGACCACTCCGCAGACCCAAACCAGAGCCCCTCCTCTGTGGAGGGACACCTGACTCCGGACCACCACTTGGTGCTCCTCTCTGGCACTGCCCAGGGCACTGGTGCAGGAGGAGGCCAGGGCTGAAAGGATGGAGCCTCTCCATTTAATCCGGCTCTGACCCATTCTGCTCTAACCCTTGATCACAGCTATACCACTAGTAAGAGCCCCGAGTCTCTCCCTGCCTCTTAAGTCCCCAGGGAGATGCACAGTGGCTACCAGGAACAAGGGGTGCAGAGGCCCTACCAGCTCGCTCTTTTCTCAGAAGCTCTTTCGCAGGACTCAGTTCAGGCAGACCATCCTAGCACCCGTGTGCTGAAACAGCCTCCCCTTTGTGTCCCAAGACTCCGGGGGCAGCCCCGCACCTCCGTTCATCTGTCTCTCGTCAGCTGTTTATCAGGCCCTTCAGGTGCCCGGCCTTGTCCAAGGCCTGGAATGTGGCAGAGGGGAGGGAGGTCCTGAACGTTGGCTGGAGAAGGAGAGTCGTGCAGTGCTCCATCTTAGCCTGAGCACCCAGCAGGGCAGCACCACCTCTTCTGCCTCACCAGCTCTCGGCGCCCAGGTCGGCCTAGGAGGGTGGGTGGACCAGGCCAGGGCTGTAAGTGCTACAAGCCCAGTTCCTTGGAGGGTCCCTTGATGCAGCGCAGGGCATGGCCTGCAGAGACAGGCAGCCCCTTTTGATTGTGGCAGGCCATGCCCACCTGGAGCTTCAGCCCCTCAGTGCTAACACCAAGGAATAATTCTGATTCCAAGCAGGGGGTAGGGATTAGATCGCTAAGCCCTGCCTGCAGTATCTGACCTGTGACAAGGGCT